CCCGCCGCCAAAAAAAAGATAATACAATTTGCCTCTCCTACCTCACAGGGTGATAAAGACTTGGAATACCTTCAGGATACCTCAAAGGAATAACAAGTAGATTGGGTTTTGAGAAACCAATTGCTTATTGATTAACATTGAGAAGACAAATTAATTACTTTTGTGTGGACTGGAGCAATTAGTTGGTAATTTACACCTATAATCAAAAGACCATCCTGGATATTCAGTTTCTAGGACATCAGCAACTTAAATTTTCCACGTTGATTATCGTAGAACTCCATTAATTTTTCTGAAAATAGTAGGAAATAGGATTGGTGGTGGTGATCATCTCTAATAATAAATGTTAAAAAATTAGGTGAGGATAAACAAAAGAGTGCCCTGGCCGGTGTGGCTCAGTTGGTTGGACATCGTCCAATGCACCCAAAACGTCGCTGGTTCGATTCCCAGTCAGGGCACATGCTCTAGTTTTGGCCTTGATCCCTAGTAGGGGGTGTGCAGGAGGCAGCTGATTGATGTTTCTTTCTCACATAGATGTTTCTCTCTCCCTCTCTCTCTAAATCAATAAAAACATACCCCCCCCCCCAAAAAAAACCCCACAAAGGAGCAAAACCATTTGTTTAGGAGGTAGGTGTGGTTATTTCTATGGTTTAAGCCTGTACCCATTTGGATGCATCACTTGATCATCCTCCTCATCTTCTTCGCTTCTTAGAGAATCCTGCTCAATGGTGACCTGCTCTTCACCCTAGAAATCAAACATTGGAACAGAGATGCTATAAAGAAAATCTTAGGCATAATGGACCCTTTCTGGACTGTTGCCTACAATCAATCCAAAGGCAGCAAACACTTCTTCCTTATGGACTATGCACCTATCCCACAACTTTCTTTGCTTCCCCTTCTCCTGCCCCACCCCTGTCTATAGCCAGTGTAAATTCTTTTAAAACAACTTACATCTTTCTTTCCAAATTCATTGTATAAAAGAGCCCCCTTGGCCTCAGGATGGTGCTAATGTTGTCTTGTCCATCTAGCTCTGCTGGTGGTGGTTTGGTCTGGGTGCCCCAGGACCCAGTCCCTTTTTGGGCTGGCACATGGCTCAATAAACCCTTTCTTGCAGAAAATCTGTTTGCCACAAAGAACTTTGTTTAACAGTTTTATATTCTACTAGAGGCCCAGTGAATGAAATTCGTGCACTGGTAGGGTCCCTAGCGGCTGCTGGCCTGGTACTTCCTCCCTTTCCCTGGCAGGCCCCGCCCCCCTGGTCGAACTTCTGGAGGAACTCCTGGTTGAGGGGACAATTTGCATACTATGCTTTTATTATGTAGGATGGGTTTGGACAAGTATTTAATAGCATGTATCAACCATCATAAACAGTCATTTCACTGCCTTAAAAATCCTGTTCCTATTCATTCTCCCTCCCCTCTTGGCAACCACTGATCTTTTCACTGTCTCCATAGTTTCCCTTTTCCAGAATGTCATAGAATTGGAATCCTACACTATGTAGCCATTTCAGATTGGCCTCTTACACTTTGTAACATGCACTTAATGTTCCCCCATGTCTTTTCATGGCTTGACAACTCATTTGTTTTTAGTGCTGAAGAATATTTTATTGTCTGGATGGACCACAATTCATTGAACCATTCACCCACTGAAAGACATGTTGGTTGTTTCCAAGTTTTGGTGATTATGAAGCTGCTATAAACATCCATATGCAGGTTTTATGTAGACAGAAGTCTTGTTTTCTCTTTTTTTCTTGAATAATATTTAGTGAAATGAACACTTTTTATAATATAGTAAATAAAATAGACAGTAATATGTATAGCATGATCTCAATTAGGTAACATATGCATGTGGATGTATATAGTATTTGCCTTATTACAAGATTTTCCTTAAAATGGAAATGCTTTTGTTTAGGCCATGCACTGATTTTTTTCTGAAATTACAGGTCACTTTTTTTTGTCTTCCAAATTTTGCTGCAATAATTTTCCTCTTTTTTCCCTAATTCAAACAAGTTATTCTTTTTATCATGAGAATAACTATCCCCCAAGAAATGGCTCCATAGTAGGCAATTACTATAGAGCCAGAATTACTAAAAAGAACAACAAGAAAGGATGACTGACAGGGAGAATTTGCTCACTTTTAATAGCAGAAGGCTTTCTTCAAATGAGATCCTACCCAGATCCAATATATAAGAGAAACAGAAGTGGCACTGTGATGGAGCGCCTCGGACTGCTATGTAACTTAGGTGCCATTGAGGAGCCCCAGGGCTTGATGGACACAGTTTTAGAACCATCTCTTAGAATCTTTCTTGTCTGCCTCCTTTACCTTAAAATTAAAATGCTTTTGTTTAAGCCCATGCTTTCTGCACAGGATGGAGCTTGAAACCTGTAGTAGTGACATGTCAGAGAAAGCCTGGGTACTCGCCCCATCAGAGAATTCTGAGGACAGGTATGTAAACAAGACCTTTATTTGGGCACAAATGTTTTCTTCATGACTTGGTTTTACACACTCTAATTATCTCTTAACTCATTCCTCTGAGTGCCAGCTGAGCACCATGCTTTCTGTCCCCATAGCTCTCAGGTGCCTGTCACACAGTGGTTACCATGGTAACAGACTCACTCACCAATCTCGGGCCATACCTGTTTGGCATTTACATGTTTGCTGTTTTGCACAACTCTATTCCTTATGGAGTTGTTTCCTGATGTGTTCTGGTTTTTATTAATGTCTTCTTCATTCTAAAAACAAAGTACAGTTTGCAAAAATAAAATTTCAGAGCCAAACAAATATATGTTCTTTCAATGAGTGGTGCCTAGAAAACTTTATTTTCTTTTTGTTAAAATTGGAATGACATTGGTTAATAAGATTATATAGGTTTCAAGTGTATATTTCTATGAGACATGATCTTCATATTGCATTGTGTGCCCACCACCCAAAGTCAAACCATCTCCCATCACCATATATTTGATAGCCTTTACCCTTTCCTACTCCCTCCATCCCCTACCCTCTGATAACCACTTCACTGTTGTCTGAGTGTATATGTTTTTGTTTGTTTGTTTTTCTTATTTGTTCATTTGTTGCTTTCAGTTTTACATCCCACATATAGTGAAATCATATGGTTCTTAACTTTTTCTTTCTGACTTACTTTGCTTGGCATGATATTCTCAAGGTCCATCCATGTTGTCACAAATGGCAATATTTCATCTTTTCTTATGGCTGAGTGTATTCCATTGTATATATGTACCACATCTTTATCCAATCATCTATCAAAGGACACTTGGGTTGTTTCTATGTCTTGGCCATTGTGAATAATGTTACAATGAATGTAGAGATACATGTTTTTGTGAATAAATGTTTTCAAATTTTTTGGGTAGATACCCAGAAGAGGGGTTGCTGGGTCATCTGGTAACTCTATTCTTAATTTTTTGAGGAACCTCCATGCTGTTTTCCGTAGTGGCTGTACCAGTTTACATTCCCACCTCCTTTTTCTCTGCAGCCTCTGTAATACAGCACATACATAAAATCTAACTTCCAGCACATACATGACTTATGCATAAGTCTTGTTGCCAAAATGCTCTTTTGTGTTAGCTGTTTATATCTTACTTTAGCATAATTCCTTGTGATTAGCAGACACTAACAATTATTTGTTACATTAATAAGCCACAGTGATTTTAATGTTGCACTAACTGGTACAGCAATGTAGTATCTCTTGGTATTTCCTATCAAACCTGATAGGTGTGCAGGGACAATATGTATAATAAAAAATGACAAAATATTGCTAATTGCTGAAGCTGGCTGATGTGTACTTAGGGACTCATTTTACTATTCTTACTTTCATGGATGCTGAAATTTTCTTTAATAAAACATTAAAAATGATATCCAACAGGAGTTGGTAGAAAAATGGGACACAGGTAACAGAAGGGGCTGGTCCCCAGGGTCCCTAAATACAAGTGTGACCCTGGGCAGGTCGTATCTTTGTAAGTCTCAGTCCACCCATTTATACAACACAGTTTCACACTTGGTGTTCTCATGGTTCCTTCCAGAATCCTGACATTTTCCGGTTCCATGAGGAACTTCAGCTTCTCGATGCTGATTATTCCTGCCACCTGGTGGCAGAATCTGAAGCTTCCTTGTGAAACACAAGGGTGGAGCCTGCCTTTTCAGAGTAAAAAAAACGAGTAAGGGGTGTGTGTGTGTGTGGGGGGGGGGGGGGACGAAGGGAGGGGTGGTGTATGAGGTGGGCGTGCAGAGTGGGCATGAATGATGACAAGGGTACCTCTGAATGTATTTTGTAACATGTAATGGGGTTGTTTTACCCCCCAGTAGAGTGCACATCTTAGCTTTTTAGCATTTTCAGGAAGAAAAATGCATCCTATTTGAGGATTTCCAACAGAAATAATGGGAGTGTTGTGTGGGTGTTGATTGGTGCCTGAAAAATAACCCTTAAAACACATGCTTCTCAGCTTCTTTTCAAATTGGAGTTGTGAGGCTGTAATAGGTGGCTCATAATTACTTCTGAGCCCATTGCTTTTCCCCCCATCTATTTAGCAATTCAGATTACTAGCAGTTTAGTAGTCTCCTGGACTCCTACAATCCTGACTGTGTTCTAAGTGCAAACCTGTCACTCCACAGAATAGTTACAACACAGTGTGTGTGTGTGTATGAGCTTTTCTAAACAGTTTGCAGCACGACACTTCTAATTTCTCAAATCAACTGCGGGAATCCTGAGGGTGATGATTCTGGATAGAGCCCCTCCTGAAGGGCAGATCCTTGACCAAGGAGTACATGTGCCTGGGCTTTTCTCTTTGACTTGGCATTCTCCATGCTGCTGGAGCAACAGTGGGTGTTACGGGGAGTATAGATGGACAGAGACCTTTTTATTGATTTCTTCTTTTTACTCAGTTTCTAAACCATATTATAACTTCTAGAATATAGGAAATTATTGAAATCATTCCCTCCCCCTAATCTATTTGTGATTTTAGCTGAACACATGGCCACCCAGAATAAAGGCTACATTTCCTAGAGTCCCATTTCACTAGATTCTGGCCAAGGAAATATAAGTACAGTAGGTCCTCTGGTTACGTCGGAGATCCGTTCCTACAGCACGATGTAATTCGATTTTCCCGTAAGTCGGAACCCACCTACATAAGCACCTATGTCACTCACATGGAGCACATACACAGCAGTAATGAAGTGAAACTGTAAAAAAATAAAAAAGATAACAATTCCTGACCTTTACTTGTGGTGAATAAATAATAAAAAAACATAAAACAGATATCTACACACGTCGAAATGACGGAACTTTTTTTTTTTTTTATAAATAAATGGGAGATGGCCACGTAACCACGAAACAACGTATGTCGAGTCCGACGTAACCCGAGGACTGTCTGTAGAAGTGGCAGGTACTCTTTGTCCCTTGATCTTTTCTTCTGTCCTGCTGCCTGGTGTGTGGATGGTTCCATCTGGACCAAGAATACAAGGGCCCATCTTAGTGATAGCAGAGTGGTGAGTTGGGGTGGGGAGGAACTTGGGTCCCCAAGAGCCTTGAGCAGTGCTCCCACCCTAGCTCTGTACTACCCACTTCCAGCCTGTTATCTGCAGGAAACAAACTTCTCCTTTTGTCTCTTTTGGGTTTTGCTTTTATTTGCACCTAGCCTGATATACTGGTTAAACCAGGGGTGGGCAAACTTTTTGACTCGAGGGCCACAATGGGTTCTTAAACTGGACCTGAGGGCCGGAACAAAAGCATGGATGGAGTGTTTGTGTGAACTAATATAAATTCAAAGTAAACATCATTACATAAAAGGGTACGGTCTTTTTTTTTTTTTTTTAGTTTTATTCATTTCAAATGGGCCGGATCCGGCCCGTGAGCCATAGTTTGCCCATGGCTTGGTTAAACCCTTTAAAAGTTTTGTTATTTGACCCTAAGAGGCCTGTGAGATGGGTTTCCTGGTCTGTAAAAAGTTTCCTCTTTTTACAGATCAAGAAACTAAAGCAAAAATAAGTAAATCACTTGACGTGGTTTGCACAACCAGAAATAGCTGAGATGGGATCTCAGGCCACATTGTGTCTGCAGAGTTTTGCCCTTGGGCCAAGGCCCTTTGGCTTTGGAGAGATGCAGACACAGTGGTATACCTACAAAGTGAATTCCCTTTTGATTAGAAAACTTGATTTGACCCTAGACCTAAAAGACAAGAGTAGAAATGAAAGAGGTGGTAAAAGATTCCAGAATTGCTTGCGGCCCCTTTTGAACAAATTTGGGCTCTGGAAGTCATTTCTCAAGCCAGAATTTTTCAAGCCCCATGGTACAGTCTGATTTTAAGTAGATTCTATCTTTAAACGATGTGAGTGGACACTCTTGCATTTGTGGACAGTCATGTCTCTGTGATTAGTTTGACATTTTTTTTCCTTCCAATATGTCTGCTCCACTCACTCAGTCTCTCCCACCACGGTGGCCCAGAATTCACAATGTGACTTCCATTTCTCAGTTCTGTGACCAGGATTTTTCTATTGTGACAGGAGAGCCTCTGTTCCCCCTTCTCTATAGAAAGTGCTATGGCCTGGCGTTGCTCTGAATGTATGAATGGCAGAGGGGATACAGCCGGGCTTGAGGACTGGGGCAAGAATGGCAACTGATACCCCAGGGAGACTTTCATCCTGACCTTTGGTGGGACACAGATCATGTAAGTTTATGGAATATGGGGATGGCCCAGTGGGCAAATGTAATGTGGACATGGAACCTGAGGAGTTGCTATGAAGATGTTCAACTGGTTTTAGCACTTGATACTTCACAGTGAATTCTATGAGGTGTTTGATAATATATCTTAGCTGGAAGGCATACCACCAGAACAGATTTAGATTGGTGGTTAAAGTTGTTTATTGTATTATGCATGTATGTGTATATGTATGTATATATGAATGTATATATGTATCTGTCTAGCTATCATTTACACTTCTCTGTATACCTTTAAAGCAATCTTCCTAGAAACAGTCAACATGTAACATACTGAGAAGAAGTGATGCCTTAAATATTGCCATGGATGTCAAAGTCTCAATCCCCAGATCAAAATGGGGATATGATATTAGTTGAACTTGGGACTGTTTAAGTCTATATATTTCACCCACTCGCCTGTTAATCTAAGAAGCCAGATCTTTACTTTGTCCCCTGTGATCTGCTGAATATCATGTGCCCAGCCATAGAAATGCTCGATACTGTTTTTGAATGAATAGAGAAGGTATTCTCAGGGGCTGTTGAGCTGATTATAGTAGCAGCTGAAACAGTGTCTCTACAATTAAGTAGAGACCAAATGGTATAGGACTGCTTTCTCTATTTCTCCACAAGGTTACCTTATGTTCTAATATTCTAAGCCTTAGGTATATAAATAAAAGTGTTAGAAATACATCTCTAATTTCTGTTGTTTTTCGGAGCTTCTTCAAGTGATGTAACCTCTCTGTGTTCATTTCTCTGAACATGGAATGAGACTAGACTAGAGCAACTGCCTCAAATAGTAACTTAATTCCAAAATGCCATGTAAAGAGATTGTAGGGAGTGGCTCAACATATGCCTTAAGATGACTGCTGTTTGGAATATTGATAGCTTACCTATATTAATTAATGCTGCATTGCAATATAAAGCTTGGGTTCCATGGTCAGACCTGGGTTCAAATCCAGCCTTAATATTTTGAGGCCCTGTACCCTGTTATATGGGAATGTAGCACTCATTACTTGCCTGTGGGGC